TCTTCAGAGAGGCTGGAACATGCAGTGCACTTTGACGAGACTATATACAGTGACTTGATAACCGGTTTTGCAGATTAAACCTTTTAAGCTTTCAGCCGTTGCAACAAAAGCATTGAATGGCAATCTATTTATTTATTTCTTGCCTGATAGAGTCACCAGGTGTCACAGAGCACTTTTATTCTCTTTATTGTCCTTGCAAGGTGACGAAAAAGGAAACAACAGTTGATGAGTGGTTCTTTACATACCCTGTCCGGTACCAAGTTCATCTCTGCACATTTCTAGAGAGCTGCGATGTGTTGATGCCAGACCTCCGATGCTCTAGCTTCTCTGCGGCTTTTTGGCAAACCTCAAGATCCTTATCTTGTTGCCTTTTTTTCGTGCCGTTTTTTGCATGTGCATCAGAATTTGTGAAATTTGCAAGTGAAGGAGTCTTGGTTCGTCGGTATGTCGGTGGCATTTTAGTAAACCACTGATGCACTGCATGGTAGGTTAGAAACAGCGCAACATTGCCAAGATTCTCATATGATCCACCAATTAAATTCCGTGTCGGAATCAGTCGAGTCGAGTCAGCGTCAGGGACCAGCGTCAGGGATCGGAATCTTGAAGTCCGGATCAGCGTCACAGAATTGATGTCAAGGACGTGTCCTGATCAGCGTCATGGATCAGCGTCACAGATCAGCGTCATGGATCAGCGTCTGGACGGTTGGGATGGTCGGGATGGTCCGGATGGTTGGGGGTTGTTGGGATGGGCGGGGAAGGTTGGAATGGGCTGGCCGGATGAGCCCCGAATGAATACATTTCCTTGTCGAATCAGTTGATGAACAGACGTTCGTCGCCATGGCCCGCTTCCAGGCACCAAGGCAGTTCACTGTTCAGATTTGTACTTCAGCACCGCCTTTATCCGGGTTTGTTTAGGACATGTTTAAGGTTTGTTTGGGGTATGTTTTGGGTGCGTTTGGGGTCTTTTAGTGCCTTGTTGAGCATATGATTGGGATTGTTTAGGGTATGTTTGGGGTTTGTTATGTGGATTTATGGTGTGATTGAATATGGTGAGGATATTTAATTTATAGGGTTTGTTTAGGGCTTGTTGAGGCCATGGGCATGATTGGGGCATGGTTAGTTTTTGTTTGGGGTATGGTTGGGAAATGATTAGGGTTCGCTTGGGTATGTTGATTTATGGTCTGATTGTGGTATGGTTCGGGTGTGTTTAGGGTATGTTTGGGGTTTGTTTAAGTTTAAGGTTTTTTCCGGGCATGATTGGGGTATGATTAGTTTTTGTGTCGGGTATTCTTAGGGTGTGGTTGTGGTATGAGTGGGGTTCGATTCGGGTAGGGATTTATAGTCTGATTGTGGTATGGTTAGGGTATGTTTCGGGTTGGCTTTGGGCGTGAGTTGGGTATCACTAAATTTTGTGTAGGGTATGTTTAGGGTTTGTCAATGTATCCTTGTGGTTCGTTGAGGGTATGTTTTGGGTATCTTTAAGTTTTGTTTAGGGTTTGCTCAGGGGTGCTGAGGGTTTGTGTAGGTTTTTGTTGGGATATGATTGGGGGTTGGCCAAGGTTTGTTTAGGGTTTGTTTCGTGTTTCTTGGGGGTTTGTTTGGGGTCTGCTTGGGCATGTTCAGGCTTTCTTGCAGGTATGCTGTACCCAAAATGATTCGGAAATGTTCAATCTGAAGCTGGCTATTTTTGATTCCATGCCAAATTCCTTGACGCTTTGTTGATGCCAGTGTCACGCCCATCTTCCGTGTATTTTGGGCTACTTTCCGGGCAGGGTGCAATATGTTGGGGCTACATGGCGACACTTTTGAGGCATGTGATGGTCATGTAAGGTGAGAAAAGGCACCTTCATCTAGGTGCGTGCTCTCAATGTGTTGTTTGGCATGGAGAACCTGTGTTGATGCCAGTGTGAAGCTCATCATCCGTAAGTTTGAGCTACTTTCGGGGCAGGGTGCAGTATGTTGGGTCTACATGGCGACACTTTTGAGGCATGTGATGGTCATGTTGACCTCATTTCAAGGTTTTGTAGCCTTGCGCCTTCATCCAGGTGCTTGTTCTGATTGTGTTGTTTCGCATGGAGAACCTGTGTTGATGCCAGTGTGAAGCCGTGAGGCCAGTGTTTGGCCTATGTCTATATGTTTGGTGGTATTTGGGACGTTGGCGGGTGGTTGGGGTGGTTAAGCTTTGGGATGGTCAGGATAGCCGGGATGGCTGGTACGGTTGTGGGGACTGTCGGGATGGCCAGGATGGTCGGGACGGTCGGGACTGTCGGGACGGTTCGGATGGTTGGGAAAGTCAGGATGGTGGTGTGGAAGGTCCGGATGGCCAGGATGGCTGGGATGGCGCGGAGTTGCCTAACACGAAGCCGATCCAACCATCAAATTTCCAAGCCGGCAACACCGATCCGACCCATTTAGATCCTTCATGGCATGTTCGCTCCACCTGTCCTGTTGTGGCCATGTATCACTTCTCGCAAGTTGTACTTGTGATGTTGATAATAACTATATGGTCAATTTCTTACTGGCATCATTTCCATTCTTGTCACGAAAGCTAGCTTCTGCTAGCTGAAGTCACTCTTGCTTTGGCAAGGTATTGGGGGGCTGGAATCTCCAACCGTGTGAAACTTCTGAGTTAACTACCCCCGCCTGGCTGGTTCACAGGCAGTTTGATCGTGGCTCAATCCCCCCGGGGACACTGTCTGCATGTCGCCGCCCACCTCTCATCCTCAACTTTGGTTTTGCAATGCGTTGCTTTTTCCCGCGCTTCCAAAGGTGCACTCCGATGCCGAAGGTGGACCTGTGAATCTTCCCCAATCAGTAGTCATCATGTTGGCTATGCTGACTTTCCTCATCCTCTTCATGCAACAATATATAATCATATGTTCTCATCCTCATCCGATCCAACATACATCACCTCAATACGTAAGTCTGGTGTTCGCCGTTGTGGCGGTGTTCCGGTGGTCCTAGTGTTGGTGGCAGCGGCGGCAGTGCTGATTCTTGGTCGTGGCATGCTATGGTCTCAATGCCTTCGGAAATATTGCCCTTTTTCAATGCGAACGGCGACAAGAATGCAACACCAGAAGCTTGAAAGGCAAGACCGGACTTTTGCTGTAGCAGAGACGACAATCCTTAGTTTAACCCTTTATGTATATATATATACACATACATATTCGGTATATATTGGGGCTCATATTTCGTATGGAATTGATTTGCACAATGAACATATATGCAAAATGCAAACCGTACATTCTATTGTGACAGACAGAGACACCTCCATATCATGGAATATAATTATGCATATTTCATTATATTTCTATATGTGCGGATTCTCTGTATTTTTTTCCTAACGGCAGTGACTGTTGGGTTTCAATCTCTGGGTCTGGGAGTGGTGCGCAATTTTTTGTCGGGCCTTAAAACCGGAACGGAACCCTGGAACCCTGGAACTTGGTGTTGCGTTGCCAAGCTGGTTAATAGATAAATTAAAACTATATATGCATCTACAGCTACATATACATGTACTTATACAAATTCATATACATATACATTTTCACATATATATATGAATACGCGTGGCAGATTACTTCTGTTTCTGATAATTATTGAATATATGTGATATGTGCATAAATAAATAAATAAATATATATATATATATACTAACCTGCTTCTCGCTTTGGTCCCAAGGTTGACACAAAAATTGGCAGCCAGATGGAACCATTGGAGCCAGGCATAACAAACAGTGGAACAGGTGCACTTCCGGGTGTGTGTGTGTGTGTGAAACATCTGAATAGATGTAAAACTTCTACCTGTTGACAGTTGATGTCGGTTTTTCCACTGCTCAGTTTGATTCTACGTTTCCAACTTTTGCTGGCTTCGTGACTACCAGGGATGTTGTTTCATTTCGCCTCAGTTTTTACAGCAGGGGAGTGCGGCATGATTGTGGGACCGCACGCAACGAAGCTACCACAATCAATGGGATACTGGGTCTGATCAACCCAGCGTACCTGCCATTTCAATCAATCTCCGTTTTGCAATTTCTCGTCAATGGCAACCGGCTAAGCCAAGAACCGGCATGTCGACCATTTGAAGGGTTTCTCGTTTTACTGCACTGTTGTCGCAATATGCATTTCTTTTTCGGCAATCGAAGGGGAAGTGTCAGCTTAAAGCTGTTTGCATCTAGCAATGGCTATGGCGATGGTAACTTCGTGATTCTTTCTCGGGTCTTTTCACCGACCCATTCCTGTCAGGTATAATTGGATTGTTTTTGCACGTGAGATGCATTCCACATCAGAATTCGCAAAGATTGTTCTGAGCAAGTGTGTGATTCATGCTGAATTCGTCATGGTGGCATGAACCCTTCGGGGAATACCTTTCCAGGTAGGAGAGTGAATCTTCGATCTGATCTCTGAATTTACATTTTTCAACCTAGTAATTCGTCTAAGTAAAGTGAAACAGCCGGCCTTTTTCGGGTCTCACTCTGTCGGTCGTTTGGTTAAACTGCTGGCCGCTGTCTCGGGCTTCTCCTTCTTTTGATGCTTTGAGTCTTGAGTGTAGCCTGAAGCCGCGACAACACTTTCCTTCTTTTCTACCACTCAAGAGACTGCCTGCTGCCATTTCCTGTCACGTCATTCGAGAAGAAAGGCAAAGGACATGCTTTCCAGATGTGGTCATTTTCTTTTGGTTACTCTGGTACGGTTCAAATGTGCACGTAATTCGAGGGTTGACCACGTAAGCCGTTTACAGGGTTGTGACTTGACTGCAGAGGGCCTCTGAGCCTGATCACGATTTCTTGCATGCAATGTGGATGCATCATGGTTTGAACTTTGAACTGTTGTTGTACACCTTTCAACCTGACGTCCCCACTGTCGCCATGCTTCCTTTTCACTACAACTCCCGCGGATGGACGAACAGTTCTCCTAACAGTCCTGATCAGATGTGGACTCCTATGTGGACTTCATCACCGGTGGCGACTCCAACTCCTCAGGGACAATTTTGTGGAGGAGATCTAAACTCCCAACAACAAGCACAGTCCCAGGTTCAGACTCAGGCACATATCAATGCGCTTCAACAACAGAATGCACTGCTGAATCAACAGCTCCACAATCAAACCATGACTCATATCCATCACCTTCAACAACTGGTTCCACAACAGCACCAACAACCACCCACTCTCAATCCAAACCCACCAGCACAGCCACCACCAGCTCCAGCTGCACCAGTTCAATCCGAACCTCCAACACCCACGGCGTCACCACCAAGCCAGCCACCTCCCTCACCACCAGTGAATACGGAGGACCTGTTATCCAAGATGAAGCACACTTTGACAGCTGACTTGGTTGCAGCCGTCGAGAAAGCCAACGAACGCAACGCCCAGCTCTTTCAATCTCCTCCACCTCCCACTTCAACTCCACAGAGTACAAGTCACAATCCACCTTCCATCAGAAACACGCACAACCCAGCTCCTTGATCAAACCGTTCCAGTTCCCTTCCTCGTTCAAGGGAACGACACAGAGATGGCAAAAGGGCCATCTCAATTCCCAGGAGTCCGAGACGACGCCCTCGCTCTCATGTGCCAAGTCGGAAACACCAACGAGAGCCTTCTCCTCAACGAGGTCGTGAAGGTTCTGTCACGTTACGATCCGTTTCCCTTGATCGTCGCAGTTCCAGCTATGATTATGCTCTTGAAGATCGGAATCGTCTCGGTTCATCAGGCAAGTCCTCTAAAGTCCGATGACCACTCCCACCACCAAACTCACAAGGATCAATCCACATGGCCAACTCACGGCCTATTCATCGTCTCAGAAAAACCTTCACACCGTCCCTTCACACCGTCTTAGGCAACGCCGTGATCATCACTCTGAGGCCTCCTCGGCCAACCCAGGCCGCTTCGTCACAGTGTCACTCAAAGATGACACTCGTAAGGAGTGGATAAAAAAGGTCCGGTTTGGCCTCAATCATCCGCACCGGATGAAGGCTACCTCCGAACTCACGGACGCGGAGAAGCCTCAGCCATGCCTCAAGGTCGACCTAGACCAATTTCAAAAGGCCTACAACGCCACCCGCTCGATCCACCGGGCAACCCACCAGAGGTAACCAAACTGGCCACACACCTTGCCTCAGGTGCACGACTCTTGGATTACCTTGACTTGAGTCAGGTATTCCTTATATGGACTTGCCAGTCACCAACATGCTGGCGTTGGTGGTTCCGCTTCCGGAAATCTCCAGGTTCTCCATGCCCGAGCCCTTCAAAGGGAAGCAATTCACCACTTGGGCCTTGATCCATGGAACTACGTTGGAAGCTGCCCAAAACATCTTGTTGGAGGGATTCATTCGTCCGGGTAACTGGTCCTTCAATCATGACTACAGCAAAAGTGATGTGCCCACTTTTTGGTGCTTATACTACATGGGCTTGGAGATCAGCCGTGACGACAAAATCCCTGACTGGGCTGCACGAAAGCTGATGGATCGCTCTCAAAAATGGGGAAAAGGCGAACAAAAGGTGCTCATCGGAGCCTTGTATCGTGGTGCTGACAGTCATGTCAGCTACAAAGGAGGAGGAAATGAAATGGCTCAAGTACATGTCGCAAATTGCGGCATCGTCACCGCGTCAGAGAAGTACACAATTGCCCACAGCAATCACGTAGGGCTTCAGTACTTCGCCTTGAAGTGGACAAACCTACCTGTCGAAAATGGAGATGATGAAGACACCTCCAGTGATGTCAACTACAGGGGCAAACGACGGCGACGGTCTGAGCCCAAAGAGGAACCTCCAGACACGGCAGTGAATTCTGAATCTGCCAAGCCCTAAGGTGACTTATAGGTATTTTACCCACCGTTGTCAGACCGGAAAGCGGCTGATCTGTTTCTAGGGAAACCTGGACAGGTATAACAGAAAAAAGATTGCTCGGCCGTCGCAATCTGACGTTCATTTCTTTAATGCTGCTTTTCACCGATGTTCTGCTTTGAGTCTTTTTCGAAGAATCTTGTCTCGATGTGTTTCATGTTTTCGCATGTCATTTTGTTTGTCGGTTTCGGTACCAATCTCGCAGCTTTCCCAGTTTTGCTAGCTCTGGTTAACCATTGATTGAACACCCATGGCTGATTCTGACCGCTCTCGCTCGCCTGTGCCAATGCGCAATCGACTGGATTCACGAGGGCAACCCCTCAATCATTTACCATTCTTTCCGAGATGGTGTGGTCCTATGAGTGCTGCGGTTCGACACTACCAGAACATGCCACGACCTCAGACCCGACCAGTGTGGTCGACAACCCAGTCAGGACCTCAGATGATGGGACGTATGTGGACACCACCAGTTCCTCCAACCAGCTGGGCATCACAGCAGTTTCCACCAACTCCACCCACCAATTCCTTGCCACCTACACTTCCATACCCACCGCAACATCCATGCCAAGCTACTACACCTTGTCCACCCACACAACCGTGTCCACCGACACAGCCTTGCTCGCCAAGCACACCATCCATTTCTCCATCACAGCCACGGTCAACTGGCACTCCAAAATCGGCTCCTGGATCAAAGCCACACAACAACGAAGCCTGCAGAACCTACGGCTTCGACCTCAATCCACATTGGCAAGAGGACCGGGATCACTACGACAACCAGAAGATTAACGTCCTCACTTTTCCCAGGACGATTCGTCAATCAGCCTTCACCCAAAGGTTGGACATCGAAGGATGTGATCCTCTGTCACTACCTGTGGCAGCCTTGATGTAGCAACAAGCCAACAACCATTGGCTTCGGAAGCTGGCTCATGGTTGCTGCGGTGGTTTTCACCACCGAACTGTTAACGCAGCTCAGAAACCGAGGCGTCGACCTGGACCGAGTCTCCCATCTTAGAGCACGACAGGATTCAAGTTTTTTGCTCATGCGTGACTGAATCTATGTGTGTATGGGGGTGGAGGCCTGCCTCGAGTCTTCCCTCACCTTAGCCAAGTCTCTCCTTTGCTGCAATTTCCATAGCCTCGAGGCCTGCCTCGAGGCCTGCCTTGCGGCTTGCCTCCTCCTAGCCAAGTGTCTGTTTTGCTCCACTTTCCATAGAATCAATACCAATTTCCATAGCCTCGAGGCCTGCCTCGAGGCCTGCCTCGAGGCCTGCCTCGAGGCCTGCCTCGAGGCCTGCCTCGAGGCCTGCCATCCTAGCCAAGTGTCTGTTTTGCTCCACTTTCCATAGCATCAATGGCAATTTCCATAGCCTCGAGGCCTACCTCGAGGCCTGCCTCGAGGCCTGCCATCCTAGCCAAGTGTCTGTTTTGCTCCACTTTCCATAGCATCAATGGCAATTTCCATAGCCTCGAGGCCTGCCTCGAGGCCTGCCTCGCGGCTTGCCTCATCCTAGCCAAGTGTCTGTTTTGCTCCACTTTCCATCGCATCCATGCAATGTCCATAGCCTCGAGGCCCTCGAGGCTTGCCTCATCCTAGCCAAGTGTCTGTTTTGCTCCACTTTCTATCGCATCCATGGCAATTTCCATAGCCTCGAGGCCTGCCTCGAGGCTTGCCTAGCCAAGTGCACTTTCCATAGCATCAATGGCAATTTCCATAGCCTCGAGGCCTGCCTCGAGGCCTGCCTCGAGGCCTGCCTCGAGGCTTGCCTCATCCTAGCAAAGTGTCTGTTTTGCTGCAGTTTTCATAGCATCCTATGGCAATTTCCATACCCTCAAGGCCTGTCTCCAGGCCTGCCTCGAGGCCTGCCTCGAGGCCTGCCTCGAGGCTTGCCTCATCCTCGCAAAGTGTCTGTTTTGCTGCAATTTCCATAGCATTGCAAGCAATTTCCATAGCCCCAAGGCCTGGTTTGAAGCTTGTCTCGGGACCGACTGTTTGCATGTAAGTATGTCTGTAAGAATGTACGTATGTAACCATGTATGTATGTATGTATGTATGTCTGTCTGTATGACTGTATGCATGGATGTATGTATGTCCGTCTGCACTCTGGATGCCATCCCTTCGCGCCAGCTGCGGCCTAAAATTCTAGGATGCCCTCAAAAGGCTACCCACGGACACACGATCAGCATGCCCTCAAAAGGCTACCCACGGACACACGATCAGCATGCCCTCAAAAGGCTACCCACGGACACACGATCAGCCCAGCCATGGGATGGGACTCCAACAATAGTATTGCATTCCTGCACTCACTCATGCAGTCATTCATCTCCTGTCGTCCTGCATTTCTTTATTCACTCCGGTCAGTCATATAAATATGGACACGCGCGGCCAGCGACAAATAGCAGCAGGCATGGGGCTGGGGATGCATCTCCCTGTCACTTCCGGGCTTAGGCAGGAAGTGCAACTATTGTTGCTATGTCCTAACACCTATGTGGATAGCTCATCTCCCTTTAGCTTGCAGTCTGCAAGGCTATCATGGAGTAATTCATGATAATCTGGCAGGTAGCGACTGAGGGATGGCTCAGGCTGGCAACAGAGCAGGCAAGACTCAGCCCTGCATGCAGATGGGAGAGCATGGGCTTGAATAGGTGTTAGTGACCTCTGGCAGCATGAATGTGCACAACTCTGCTTTTTTTTTCTCCTCTGTCCCCTTCCCATGCGCGCAGCTGCCATAAGTCAGGATGTGAAGTAAAGTCATGCCATGTCGTGTCGTGTCATGGATTGAAACCTCAGGAAATGCAATGTGTCTGTAATGTCTGTAATGTATGTCATGTATGTCCTGTATGTCATGTATGTACTGTATGTACTGTCTGTAATGTATGTAATGTATGTAATGTATGTAACGTATGTCATGTATGTCATGTATGTAATGTATGTCATGTCGGATTCTGAAAGTGCTGGACAAGACGGCAAACACAAAGTATGCCGCCCAACAGATAGCAGAACAGATTCAAAGCTGGCTTCCTGCTCGGGCAACGGATCCAGACTCCCAACATGAGATCACCATGCTCAGAAACCAATTGGCTGAACTTCGTCAACGCACTGGGGAGGATGTTAGCGACAATGCTACACCGCCAAGACCAGGTCAATCCAGCTCCAGCCCGACCTCCAACACTCCTGCTCCACCGGCCTTTGAACCAGCTTGCCTCCTCACCGTCCCCACCACAACAAATCCATGGCTGGCTGACAACATGCCAAGCACGTTAGCTGTCCAAGCCTTTAAACAACCATTGGCCATGGCGCCAACCAAACCAGACAATTGATGGTCACAGAAATTGACAATGTCGGCACAGAAAGAAACCGCCGACCGGAATTCTTCTTCAACGGAATCCTTGGTCATGTGAAGGACCGATGGGAATGGAATATCGACAGCTGGAAAGAATCATCAAGGCTGGCCAACTATTGGCGCCGGTTCTTTGACATTGAGGAAGTACCATACTCTTCCACCTCCGATGATCGCCAAGCCCATCTGCCCATCCATGACCCATCCGGTCCACCGGACGAATCTGACAATGCTGGTCATGGAGAAGAAGAACAAGATGATGTCGCGGGCGACACGTCCACCATGGGGAACACGGGAGAACTTTCGGTTCCCCGTCAGATCCACCAGCTGGCAGCTATCCTTTACAATGCGTTGACGCAGGATCCTGAGTTCAATGCCGCGATCCTCGAGAAGCTCCAGATTCCGCCGGAGAACCCGTCGGAGAGCAATCTGAAATTGTTCAACGCGGCGGAGCTCGGTCACGTGGGAAGCCACCTAGCTATCACCACGAACATCTTAGCTCAACAAGCCCAACCTGCTGAACTTGGTGATATCTCCGACATTTCTGATGAGATCGACCACGACGTTCCCTGATGACTATCATTTGTTGATGAGATACCTTTCTCTCTTTTCAATGTAATTCAATGTCTTGTCTATAGCATTTTGATCGGCAGATCCGAACCCAGTTGACCATATCAGAGCTTGCGTCCGTTCCACACGATGCATCTTCCGAAAAAAGCCCGGCGGCAGCGGGCGTGTGTGTGAAACATTTGAATAGATGTAAAACTTCTACCTGTTGAGGTCGGTTTTTCCACTGCTCAGTTTGATTCTACGTTTCCAACTTTTTCTGACTTCGTGACTATCAGGGATGTTGTTTCATTTCAACTCAGTTTTTACAGCAGGGGAGTGCGGCATGATTGTGGGACCGCACTCTACGAAGCTACAACAATCATGGGATACTGGGTCTGATCAACCCAGCGTACCTGCCATTTCAACCTCCGTTTTGCAATTTCTCGTCGATGGCTCTATGATTTGAAGTCTGTACCACGGCACTTTCGAATTGGCACTAAACACCAAACTTGTTTGTACTTTGTTCAGTAGTAGTCTTGTGAAAGTGTCCATGCCTGCAGTTTTTCATGTGTTCTCGTGAGTGGGCGGGGAATTGTGTACTCCGACAGTTGGAGTCGCAAGCAAAGAACACTTCTTCTGCTTGCTTGTGCCGGCTCCAAACAATGCAAAGTAAACCTATACGGAGATTTAAGGCGATACCTAGCCTCCATGGTTGGCTTGTGGGTATTTGAATATCTAAGGGATGTTGACAATATCGACCTTGAATTTGACCCACTCTGCTGGATTCACATGCCAGGCCGACCGTCTGCAACAGCAGCGTTGTTGGCAGGACACAGCATTGCTGAAACTGTTTTACGGTTGAATCGTTGGATATCACCAGATGAGTCACGCAGCCTTGCTGTCCTGTCAATCTTACGCCAGAGCAGATTTTCACGACAAACAGAAACTCTATTGCAATCTTCCCGTTTCAGATAAAGGAAACTGGACCCTCCCACGTCTTGCAGGATTTATATGACGTGAAACGGTACGAAGTCTTATAAGCGTGCCTGGAAAGTTTCCTTCTTGGGAATGCTTCATGCGATGCTGAATTTCATCACTTCGCAGGATTTTTTGGACTGTGCACCATTGGTCACATTCTCAGAGAGAGCGGGGCAGGCAGGGAGCAAGATTTGTTTTGTCCCAAAATGTTGTTCTGTAGGGCGACACTTCGATTTCTCGAAGAGCGCATTTTTAGGGTTTCATGTGCAGGGACTTGCTTCGGCGAACCAGGGCACAAAGACATTCAGAAGTCAGTACGTCCCTGTTTTGCTTGCCGGAGGCTAGCTGACATCTAGAGCTCAGTCTTACAACCTTCGAATTTGTAGCACAACCTTCTGCAAAAGCAATTTCCAGCCACGCGAGTCAGCCAGCCTTTCACTTCTGTGCTTCTGAAAGCTGGAATGGTTATTTTTGTCAGTAAATCGAGGCATGGAAACTGTATCTCTCTCTCTCTCTATATATATATATATATGCCAACAATCCAACGGTGCCTGTTTCGCAAGTCAGCTTGTCAAGAACAAAAAACTTGGCAAGGCAATCTTACATCCTACCATGAATTTTGATTCATACCTATGATTAATCTAGCAGAAAGCCCTCATGTCCTTAGAACTTTGGAGTGTTCGGCCAAGGTGTGAATCTTGGACCTTGACCTTGAGTGTTTGATAAGAGCCACAAGGCCCAGTTTCACCTGCAGAGACAAACCAAAAGGCCATGTTTTTCACCATTGATCCAAAACACGCTCGCCCTTTTGGTCAATGTAGTTGCCGTGTCCGGCTTACATGGGTCATCAGTTTTTCGTTTGTAAATTTATTGCGAAGAAGCGCTAAAGAGTCTTGCATCTCAAGCCTGACATAGGGCCTGAGACTTGAACAGGCAAGACATTGTAGGCGCCGGGCACTGGCGAGTCTCTGTGGTGCTTTCATCTTTGGCGTAGTTTGCTGATTCACTTCAGCTGAATTCGATGGCTCGCACCTGCGCCTGTATCCGTAGTCGGACTGGCTTTTGCACTTTGTCCTTTCCGACTTTTTCCTCCCACTCGGAGTTGAGGACTTCAGCGCTCAGGTGCAATTTCTGCACTTCCTGCTCTTTCGGATTCTTTCGGCCCTTTTGCCTTTTTGATCTGGCCAAACTGCGCCAGCGCCAACAGCGGCCTTGAACACCTCTTTGTGCATTGGGAGCCTTCAAGCCTCGCGGTGCACGGGCAAATGCACCATGACACATGGACGCATCAGGCAAACCTGAACTGGTCCGTTGCATTTTCAACAGCAAGCACAACCGTTTGTCGACGTCCGACCCACTGTGTGGCTGTAGTCTTGTTAGGACAATGATGGCTTCATGCATTCCAGATTTTTTTGATCAGAAAGCTTTGTTTGGATCGAGACGTTGAGAGCAAGACCTTTTTCTGGAGTCAATGTCCAGTGCAGTAGCTCAGAAGTTCAGAAGGTCCATCGACCCAGACCCAGACTGAGTTGCAAAAAAATATACAGCTGCTAAGTGCGCTGCATCATATCAGCGTGCACCCCGTCTGCCGACTTGTGCAGCCAACTTGCGTGCCACAAGCTGTGGTAACAGTGACTGTACTGACTGTCCTGTCGTTACCTCGGACTTTTTGGCTCTAACATTGCTTCTGTGGATTTAGGGCAATTCTGTGACGCCGAGGTTGGAATGCCTTCTTGAGTTTGAGAGTTGGGGAACAAAAGCAAGAGAACAAGTTGGTGCAATGGGTAGATGCAGGACCTTGCGCTTTGTCTTTTTGTGCTGGTTTTGATTCAAACTTAGATCTGGTTCACTTTGTGCTTTCTAGCCTGAACAAGCAGCTCGATTTGCGCCTCTGTTGTCACAGATGGCGGCCCCTTCTCTGTTTGCCCTGGCACTGGTTGCCTGTGCCCGGGCCTCTAAACGCTTTGTGAGGTAAGGAGCTTTGTATCTAGGCAAAACAAAGCTTCGCCTGGCTCAGTGTCTATGCCAAGCCCCGTCAAACCCCTACACAATTGAATTGCACCCAATTGGGCCCAAGCAGGCTGTGCTACTGTGGGCTGACCCGTTTGCATCAGCATTCGCAGGCCTTGCAACAGATCCACTGCATTCCCCATCAATCCAAGTAGGGTTGAAAATCATTCACAGTCGCAAATGGAAGCGAAGTCGTATCGATTAATCCATGTCAAGAAGCCACCATTTGGATTATTTGCTAGTGAGGAAAACCAGGCAGATGGAAAGCGATTTCCAATTTGTTTGGTCGGAAGAGAAAAGGGTCTCTGCAACCACTTTTAGCCTTTGCATGCTCAGCTTTTTGGTTCAAATATAGATGTCATGTTAAAATGAGCTGATGGTCATTCGCAGTTTACTGGGCTTGCCAAGCTTTCTTGCAGTTTTTTTGCTGTTGGATCCTTATTCATGTCTTCATTCAAGCGGAGTTTTCAAATCAAGTTGAGTGTGCGATTCCGTTTTGTAAGATTTTGCAAATGAAAGAGTTCCCTGTTTGGGGCACCTGAGGCTTCTGGCTCCTGCTACCCTCGCAGAAACAGATGCTGAGCTTTGGATCGCAACTATAGATGGGGTTCGTCCGCGTGCCAACTAAACAAGGGTGTGGGGATTTTTGTATCACTTTGTATCAGCGTTTTTCCTGGTACTTTGTAGACTGGCAGGATGTCCCTGCTGTGGGAGAGAGGCAGCTGCAGGACGCGGGCGCTTGCATCGCCAAAAATCACGAGATATCATGAGCATCTGAACCACAGAAATGCTCAGACAGAAATGTGTCCAATAAAATGTGTCAGCGTTTGAACCAGAAGTGCTTTGGAAAAAGCTGTGTTTGATTTCACCGCACCATTGCATAATATTGCATGTGCATATATGATATTATATAATGTTAATACAATATGTATATAATACAATATGTATATAATATAATATACTATGATATGATATGATATGATATAATATACTATGATATGATATGATATACTATACTATACTGTAATACAATGTAGTGTAATGTAATGGAAAAATATAAAATAATGTAATATAATCCAATAAAACATAATCTAATATAATATGCTATAATGTAATACAATGTAATATGACATAAATAATCTAATATATAATATATAATATGTGATATATGATATATGATATATGATATATGATATATACTATATAATATATAGTATATAATATATAATATAATAATATAATAATATAATAATATAATATATAATATCTGATATATGATATATGATAAATGATATATAATATAAACTATATAATATATAATATATATAACATGCAATATATTTTATTTAATATATAATATATAATATATAATATATAACACATGATATGTAAAATATATATATACACTATATAATAAATATAATATTTAATCTACAATATATATAATATAGTATATAATATATTATATATAATATATATTATATATTATATATAATATATATTATATAATATATAACATATAATATTATACAATATACACAATAATATAATATGATATGATATGATATAACATAAACTATAATATACAATATATAACATATAATATAATATATACAAAAATATAATATAATATATATATATATAATATACAATACATAATATATATATA